GGGGCTTGCTATCACTGGTCGTTCCATAGCCGGGGTTCAGAGTCGTCCTTGCAACTGCCACTGCAATCCTCTGGATCGTCTCCTGTTTCTTCTCTTCATCTTGATGTCCACTACTACTAATGCCACACCAACTGCCTCTATCGCCGTTACCTCCCTTGCGATTGTGTCATCATCTCATCTCCAGTGTGCCTATTTCGACGATGCTGCCACCACCCAACGCTGCATCCCGCAGTATCGTCACCACCACCATCCTCACACTGGCAAAGGTTGCTCTGGGCATCAACTGATGTGATACAGCGCCTCTGAACACGAAGTCCTAGAATTCGAATCCCGACGGTGGCCGGATTTTCGACACTAGCTTCATACTTAGGTAGCTGTCTGAAGGAGAATTCAAGCGGCCGGCTGCTGTGATCCGTTGTTTTTCATCGTTTCTCCGATCAACACCAGGCGAATGACGATGCAGTACCGTGACACTCGGATCACGGGCTGCGCGCGTTCTTTCCTTCATCTTCCTTGTCATTTCTTCACCCCTTACTTACACACATGCAATATACTAACACACATGTCCAGGCACCAGCCGGGAGCTTAGAACTTGTTCCGGCTGGGGCGGTGCCCCTCTGGTGGGAGATGCCGGGTAGGGGAAAAACCCCCGTAGGTCACCGCCAAATCTCGCCAGGTAGTGGGGGAAGACCACCCGCGACAAGAAACTTGCACTGCTCCAACGGGAATAAATAACTTAGCCGTGTATGCGTCCGGTATCACTTATCAAATAATGAATTGAAACCACCACGTCATCAGTATCATTACCTTTACCAGCACCACTACCATGACAATCATCACCAGCACCACTACCACAATGCAGCATCACCCGCTGGGCTGCCCCCGGTCACACCACCGTCACCGGCCCAAGAAAAATTTACCTGACGGAGATTTCAGCTATCACTAACGTGATAGTCCGTGCCAATACCACTGCCCCTTCAGTGCGACTGCCTTCATCTTCAGGTTTTTTACGACTTTGCTATTTCGTAGACACTCGCAATGCCTCTATCACGGTTTTAACCACCCCGGCCTCACCACCCACACTGGCATCGTCACAGTCAGTCAGGTAACTGACATTTTGATGATCTAAGCGAACAGTTCCAACATTACCTCACCCTTACCACTGTCACTAATACTGTCACCATGAACACTAGCGCGACAGCTTCCTCTGCCCCCCCCTGCTTCACCGTCGTCACCACTGTCACCACTATCACAACTAATTGTTCTGCTTCAACTCACGTTTATCAAAGCCACCGACATTAGGAATCATCTCCATTGTTGCTGCCGCCACCGCTACCGCTACGAACACACACATCAAACATTTCCCATCACCATAAGCACTTCACACGCCTCGCCACGGGATTCGACACAGATCGTCATCGCCACAGCTGGTGTGTGTCTTGATTCTCTCTTGGCAGCGTTTTCGTTGTTAGACTACTGATGCGTGAGTGGCCATTTCCGTGACCCTACCGCAATTCAAGCCATAGCCGTCACCATCCCAGCACCGCGATCACCGAAAGCTGCCGCCTCAACCGTCACTGCCTTCGCTGTCACCAGTGCAACCTACGCCTCCAATCCACTCTCATGGTAACAACGCTATACTAAACGCTGTATTAAACATGACTTCTCCACCAATTCTCTAACACTACACTACCGCTGCCACACTCGCTGCCGCTACAACATTACTCACGTCGTTGTTCAGTTCACAGTTTGTAGCACCAGCAATATACCAGTATCAGTTCCTTCTCGTGTATTACCTTCACTCCAACAAGACCAATCATACATGAACCACAACTGAAGGGGTCGAAACTGCATAGTATTAATCCTATTTTTTGTGTTATTATAAGTAAGAAGACGTTTTTGGTAATCCAAACGATTCTGTTTGAGAATACACTTCCTGTTGCATTCTATTCTTGTATTGTAGTCCTAATTTTTATAGTGCCCTTGGGGGCCTCTAATATCTTTAATTTGAATGTGTGAAATGAGGGCGAGGAATCATTATGTTGCCCCAACCCTTTTCATCACATGACCAACGTGCGGCAACTATTATCGCAGTCATATTGCCACCACCACCATCACCTCCCGCACTAACACCAAAAGCACCATAACTATCTGCCTCTCCACCATCTTAATCACCACCGTCACCAACACCACGACCGTCACCATAACCACCACTGTCACCATAACCACAACCGTCTCCCTAACCACCACTATCACCATAACCACCATATTACCATAACCATCACCATAGTCATCACGTCACCATAACCACTATCACCATAACAACCATCACCATAACCACCACCATCACAACCTCCGTCACCGTAACCACCACCATTACCATCACCACCTTCGACCAGTCGTTTTTGCGAGTCCATCCGTACAGCATCCATCACCCATTACTACCACCATCAGCACCGCGACCATAAACACTGTCCCTCCATCGCGCCTGCAGCCCATTCTCACAGTTCCTAACCGTATCATCGTGTTCGCCCCCACCTCGGCCCTCGCGGTCCATCCAGCCCCGCGCGCCGCCCGCACGCGTGCAACCGGGAGGGGGCGGGGCAGCGGCGGAAGGGGGCGGGAGACGAACGCAGCCGTTCGATCCGGACGCCGAATGCCCTTCAGTCTTTACGGCTTCTTGTGCGACTTGATTTTTCGACGCACTCTGGAACAAGAGAGTGGCATGGTTGTTGACGGCTCCAACGAAAGCTGGATAAAAGAACCCTGTCCCCCGTCAAATGAACGAGCAGTAAATTCCCTCTGCGGAATACGCTTGACCTAGAATAGGTCAAATTTTCGATGTCTAAACTCTCGTGTTGTGTTTCGTTGGAGCACTATATTCCGCAGGAGTAAAGCGGGGTCCGTAGTTACCGGACGATGAGAAAGATATCTGGCAGTAAAACAGATTGAAAACCTTCACAAACACATTAACCTAAAAAGTTTTTAATAAATGAAACAGCAATACCTCTTGAATTTTACGAATATTTATAAGATACTGAGTGGATTGGGAAGATTGAGAATTAACAAGAAAAATTAAGCTACGGGAAACGTTTTGAAAAGTTTGAAAAACCTTGCTGGCGTGCCCTGCGCCTCTCTCTTCTGCTCCAATATTTAAATATTTTCATTGTTTTTCTGCATATTTCAGGTTCCTTTTTGTTATTAACGTATTTTTTAACATGTTTACTTGTTACAGTTAAACTGAAGTAGTATTCGAAGCAGTGAAAAAGAAGAATAGTTCAAATGACGGTATAACGGACAAACGTATTTGAACGAGTTTAAAAACTTCCTATACCCATTGCTCTGTTCATTAATTTAGATTAGTGTAATGTTTTAAACTGTTGGTGAAAGTGTATTAATAATTGTGAAAAACATCCAAATTCAAACACTTTCGTCTATAACGTAGTAAAAGAAACAGTTGAACTTGAAAGAGTGGGGTTCAAGTTGTCATATATAAAATTGGTGATATTTGTCGCATTAAATAGGTAAAGAATAGTCACCTAATTACATTTATTAGTTTGCAGTTTACGTAAAATTCACCACATTTTATTTTCACAGTAAATTTGGCTTATATACGCACCGAATGCCTGCTTCCGCGCCTGTTTGTCTTTCATCCCAGACGCAAGAAACGAAAACATTAGAAAACACAAACTCATGTTCATGCACGCGTGAGTTTAGGGCCAATCGGAAAATAATGCAACCGATATTGATGAACGGTTTTGGGCGAGCCGCGCCTCTAAGCTCCAGAGCGAAGGGGACAATCACGCTACTGGCTTACTTGCGATAGTGCGTTATCCTTCCTGGCAAATGCTCTAATATTTGCATATGACATTGTAACACGGCTCCGCGATTAGGAACGCTCGCGCGGTGGGTGGCCGTGAATCCTCTGCCTCGGAGCGCTAATTTCGCAGCGGTGTTCCTCATTTGCGCGCAATCAAGAAACACGAGTGGGAAATTTTCTGTTGCCGCGATTCACCGCGCAAATGAAAGAGGGCATGTTTTTTTTTCTTTTTTTCTTTTCAAACGTGTGACTTCGCGCCAGTAAATGAATACTGCCCGCAAAAGCGGGAAGGCAGGGGATGAAACGAGTGTTTGATAATGAGAAGTTTAAAAAATGTGTGGTGTCAGGTGAATGTGCCTTTATGATGCGGAGAAGTGGAAACAAACTCACATAGCTACATGTAGATATAGAGTGAGAGTGTAAACAAGTTTTCGATATTTTTGTGGGATAATGAGGGAAAAAGTGGCAAAGTTGATTCTATAATAATAATAATAATAATAATAATAATAATAGTAATCATAATGACATCAACAATGATTACGATGATCTAAAAGAATGTGGAATTTGTTGATGTGTTTACTCGATAAGAAAAATGTATTTCACGTTTTTACTTACAAAAATTAATAACTTTTGTTGTTGGAGGAAGTATGTGGAACAATTCCTCTGGAATAATCTCAACTTAATTAAATTATCCCAACTAGATTCAATATACAAATACTAACCGGGTTTAGAAGAGCTAAAAGTGAGCAAACTTCGCCATATTTTCATACAGAAAGCTGTCAACCCTCCTACAAGTCAGTAAAATTCATGAAAAATGTTTTTAACTTTCTTAACTTCCCTGAACAATTATCATTTTAATTTCAATTAAAAAAAATATTTAACGTCAAAAACTGCATAGGACATACAATGGGGACAAATAAATTCTGTGCACGTTTTCTTAATTCTGGGATCTCCATTTTAAACCATATAAAAATTGAATTCTGAATACAGATGGAAATGAGTATATTTGGCAAGAGTTGTTCAGAAAAAATCGCTCCACTGTAATAAAATTTATTTGCAAAGCCTAATCAGCTGCTGCTTTAACTATTATCGCGCATCATGCCCTTCGTGATGGAATTAACTCTCTGACGTGAGCACTTGGATAAAGATAATTTGAATAACTTTATTGCCCACAGAACTCTAGAAGACGTGCACAGACAGTGAAGTTACATGTGTGCCCAGAAGCAAATCAAGGGAACATCTCAGCAATATCTCGAAGGATCAAGGAAAGTGGACGAAAAACCTAACCGAGATGGGGGTCATTGACCCAGAAGCTTTT